GCACCAGCAGTACTGCCCGGGCAGCTGGTGCTTCATCCGCCTGCGCTCGGCCGAGCCCAGCGGCTGCGCCTTCTCCCTGGCCTACGCCAGCCTCGTGGCCTTGCTGGTGAGTGCCATCGTCCTGTGCAACGGCTCCGTCGCCCTCAGCCTCTGCCGCATGTACCGCCAGCAGAAGCGCCACCAGGGCTCGGTGGTCCCCAGCTCCGGGTCGCGTGAGGACGAGGTGGACCACCTGATTCTGCTGGCCCTCATGACGGTCATCATGACCGTGTGCTCCCTGCCGCTCACGGTGAGTCTGCCCTGGGGCCGGGGGTGGGGAGAGGAGCAGAGCAGCGCCCAGCTCTGCCCGCCGCCGTTGGACAAGCCCCTTTCACAGATGGGGAAACTAAGTCTTGAAAGAGGTCCGACTGAGGCTCGGCCCGGGCCACACAACTCCGAACTTGTCAGAGACAAGGGGAGCATTTGCTCCCTCCCGACTCGACCACTGTTGCCTCCATAACCCTAGCCCCTCCGTGATCAGGCAGTCCCCTCTTCCCCGGAGCCTGTGACAGCAGGACCCACCATCGCAGAATGCTTGTTTTCTGTCCACCCGATGCTTTGTGGCTTGCAAATACCTCCTCAGATAACCCTCGCACAACCTTTCACAGCCATGCTGCAACGCTGGGCAGGAAATGCACCGAGTCCTGGCTGGCCAGCTTTGTACAGATGAGGGGCAGCATCTCTGGCCCGTGATCACCCAGCGCCAAGGCCTCTAGAGCCCAATTACCCATCCTGGGTCCTGTCCTCCAGGTTCTCCCAGCCCGGCCCCACCCTGCACTTGTTCAGGGCTCTTTGAGGATCCCTTTTCCTCTGGAGCAGCACCAGGGTCTGTGACACCGGATCGCCTCATCTTTATTCTGGGCCTCAGTTTCTCTTTCTGTAAAATGCAAGGGGCTGGGCTGGATTTGGGGGTCCTTAATTAAGCCTCTGGGAGGGTTGTGCTGACTCAGGTGCACGCAGATGGCGCCTTGGCTCTGGGTGCAGTTTCAGCCCTCGGGGTCGAGCATCTGTGAGCCCCCGGGTCCTTCTAAGTGCAAAGGGCGAGGGCACCCACATCCGTGGCCCCATCACCCCACTGTGGGTGTGTTCCTGGGGCTTTCCCTCCCGCTGCTCCAGCGTGCATTACTGACTTAGTTTTCATCTTATCTGACTTCCTCCCCCATCTGAAGTGCCTCCCTCTTGTCCCCGCGGTGAGCAAGAGGGAGATGAGGGGCCAGGGTGGGGAGCTGGGGACTCATGGCCCCTTCTCCATGCCCTCCGCACCCGCAGATCCGCGGCTTCACACAGGCCATCGCCCCCGACAGCAGTGAGATGGGAGACCTCCTTGCTTTCCGCTTTAACGCCTTCAACCCCATCCTGGACCCCTGGGTCTTCATCCTCTTCCGCAAGGCCGTCTTCCAGCGACTCAGGCACTGGTTCTGCTGTCTGTGTCCCGGGCCAGCCCGAGGGGACTCGGTGACACTCCGGTCCCAGCCAGCCTCCAGGAGGAGGGACCCCCAGGCCCCTGCTGCTCTGGAGGGGAAAGAGGGGAACTGGGTGCCCCTGTCCGCCTGGAGTAAGGGACAGGTGGCGCCCTTTCCTCCTGCCAACACCGTGGGAACAGCAACGCGGCCCAAAGCCGAGGCCTCAGTCGCCTGCTCTCTCTGCTGACATCGAAGCTGGTCCTGTGACCTCCGCCTGTCTTCCTGGTGCAGAAGCCAGAAAACCAGGGCCAAGGCTGTGGAAGCCAGAACTTTGGCCCCCGAATTCTGGGGGTGATGAGCTGCTGTTTCCCCTCCTTCAGGGTGGCCATGCAGTCTGTGGGAGGAGAGAACATTACCCCGAAGCACGAAAGAACAGTTGTCTCAAAATAGCCCGCAGCCTGGCCGGCCAGCCCTGGCCCTGGGCTCTCCATCCATCTCACTGTCCAAATATTTAGAAGGTGGCAAGGTTCCCAGCGGCTTCTGGGCACTCAGGTCCACTGGGGTTAGGGTTCCTGCTCCTATCCTTCTTCATCAAGGGGGTCCTAGCTGCCCGCTTTCACAGGGGTCCCCAGGAGAAGCCCTGCCCTCACCCAAGCCAGGGATTCTCAGAAAGCTCTCTGCTCCTTGTTCTTTATTATTCTTGTTTTTTCCCTGAACCAGGGATCAGAACTCAGGACCTTGTGCTTGCAAGGCAGGCGCAGGCGCACCTGAGCTAAATCCCTAGCCCCTAATTCTCTACCATTCTTGGGGGCCCTGCACCCCAAGGGGAGAAGACAGGAAGGAGAGGCTGTTGTGTCGTAGGCGACACCGGCGGACACGTGCCTGGGAGCCAAGAGATGCCGTGGGCTGGTGGACTGTGCCGTGCGAGCTGTCGGCGAGGCGGGCTGGGAAAAAGATGGTAGCTGAAGGGACAAGGGCCCAGCCGAGAACGCAGACCCCAGGCCTGTGTCTGTCCCCTGGGGCTGGGCTATTTCTTGCTCCCTTACAGGGCCTGACCTCACCGTCCTGTCCTTGGAGTCCTTCACTCATTCATTCGACAAATACTCAGCAGGTGCCCCCTCCACCTAGGGATGGGGTCACAGAGAAACCCGTCCTGCTCCGGCCCCTGCAGGGTGATTTCAGTCAGCCCCACCTTCTCAGGCCTGGGACTCCAGGGAGTGAGCCGGGGATGGAAGTGAGTTGGCTGCCCCCTCCCACCCCACGCTGCCTGCCTCAGTTCCCCCTTCTCGCTCAGCCCTGGGCTAAAACAATAAAGCTGCCCCTGGGGGAGGGGTAGAGCAGCGATCCATGGGAGCTCAGCAGCAAACTGGGGACAAGCAAGTGCTTCTTATGTGCCAGGTTCCTTCAGCCACTTGGCAGCCAGGGATCAGAGCTTCTAGCAGTGAGCTACAGTGGAGGCCCAGAGAGGGCAATGATTGCCCTGGGTCACACAGCAGAGAGGAAGTGGAGCCAGTTGGTCTAATCTACTGCAGGGCCCAGCTTGCTGCTGGGACCCCCACCGCCAGCCCTGTGCCTTGCTCTCCTTCCAACTGTAATCAGGTGCTGAGTTTTCAGACTAGCTGTGAGGATGGGATGAGAGATTGCCTCTGAATATTGATTTGAGCACAGGGCCTGGAAGAAGGGCTGCACTAGGCATTACTATTATTGCCATGGTTGTTGTTGCCATTATTATCTGGGCAAACACGATCTGAAAACAAAATGAAGCAAGTGTGGCATCATTGTTTTGACTTTTATTTATTTATTTTCCATCACTGTGTTTCAAATCAGTCAAGAAAAACAAGGGGTAGCTAGCCGTGGTGGCGCACGCCTGTGATCCCAGCACTCAGGAGGCTGAGGCAGGAGGATTGCAGTGAGTGCAAGGCCAGCCTGAACTACAGAGTGAGACCTTGTCTCAACTGAACACACACATACACACACACAAGAAACAACAAAAAGAAAAAGAAAAACAAGGGATGTTTGGGAGAGTTAAACACAGGTCAAAGCCAGACAGAGTGGTACAAACCTGTAATCCCAGCTACTCACAAAGATGAGGCAGGAGTATTGAAGTTCAAGGATAATTGAGCGAGCCTCTGCCTCATCTGAAAATAGAAAATAAAAAGGATCTGGGGGCCGGGCGTGGTGGCGCATGCCTGTTATCCCAGCACTCGGGAGGCTGAGGCAGGAGGATCTCTGTGAGTTAGAGACCAGCCTGGTCTCAACTCATAGTGAGTTCCAGGTCCGTCAACTACATAGTGAGACCCTGTTTCAAAACAAAACAAAACAAAACAAAAAAAAAGGATCTGGGGTAGTAGCTCAGGGGCAGAGTGCTTGCCTAGCATGTGCAAGGCCCTAGGTTCAATCCCCAGCACCACAGGGGAGGTGACCAGTTAAACAGGTTACCAGTTAATAGGTAGGAGTTTTCTTTGGGGGTAATGAAATGGTTCTGGAACTGGAGTGGTCATGGTTGCTGACAGCATGAATGTACCAAATGCCACAGGACTTGTAACTGGCAGCAAAGTGTAAAGTGTTAAAATAGTAACTCTTATATAATGAATATCTTACCACAAAAAAACCCTGCATATAATACTGAAAAAAAGGAGTGTTTAGAAACTTTTATAGCAGTCATAATTGAGTAATAGTATCTTGGTTGAATTTAACAATAAAAAAGTCCAGTTACATACTAAAAAAATAAAAAATAAAAAATGCTGGGTGTGGTAGCACATGCCTGTAATTTCACCACCCAGGAGGCTGAGGCAGGAGGATTGCCAGGAGTTCTAGGTCTGTCTGGTTTGCATAAAGAGTTCAAAGCCAGTCTGAACTACATAATCAGACCCTGTGTCAAAAAAAAATCAGGGCAGGGGGGTTTAGCTCAGTGGTGCTGTGCCTGCCTGGCAAGCACAAGGTCCTGAGTTCGATTCCTGGTACTGGAAAAATAAACAACCAAACCAAACCAGTCTGGAAACAGAATGGGTCCTGACCTCAGCTCGAAAAGGTCCAAAGGACAGTGATGAGGAGATGAGGAGAGACTCACCTCTTCAGTCACTCCTAAGGTGAGGCAGTTTCTTCCATGACCTCGGGGCTCATAAATGCCAGCGCAGGGCTCAGTACCTGATGCCCTGGAGCTTCTGTCGGTCCCATCTTTGGGGCGAGGGTCAGGGTGAGGCCCTCTGATCTGGATGTCACACAGTCTGCCAGGTTGGCAGATTTAGACAGCTCCCCCCTGCCTTCCCACGGCACCTGGGCGGGTTGGAAACTCCTTGCCCGATGATGTCCAGGCCCCACAGCACGTGAGCTCATCCTTGCTGCCCGTCACTGTCACAGCGCAGGCTGGAGGCACTGTCTGAACGGTCACTTCCCCGCCTGCCACTTGGAGGCCACAGGCCAACCCCCCACCCCGGTCCCGGCACAGTGTGTGCCCTCACTTGGTCAGCAGGTCTCGTCTCTGATGCTGGGGACATGGCAGCCACAGGGACGACCCTGGCCCTGCCCTCCTGGAACTCACTGTCCAGTGGAGAAGGCAGTCCTGTCTCCAGGGTGGGTGAGGCTGGGAGGGGCCGTTGGGGAGCCCAGGGGGAAATGGGGGGGCTCCTTGGGGGAGGGGATGGCTGAGCCAGACACGAGTTTGGAAGAAAGCGGTGGAGGAAAGAGGGGCATCTCGGCCGCGCTTCCGGTTCCGACTGTGTGGAAGTTTATTTCTGTGGTCTTTCATGTGTTCATTCACTTGTCACACTTTCCCTGGGGCCTGCCGTGGGCTGAGACTGCGGAGTCTCTTGAGGATGTAGCAGTGACGGTCACAGCGTCCTACTTGGCTCGTGAACCAGTGGGACAACTGGATAATCACATCAGTATGTGCTGCAAAGAGCGGCTGGAACACGAAGCCCGCAAGCTGCAAAGAGATGTGCGGACCGGCAGGGGCTGCCTACCCTAGTCTGGGGCAGGGGTGAGGAAGTGAAATGTTGGGGGCGGATCCCTATTGTTTCTGTCTCCCTAGTAGGGGCTAACCCACAGGTGGGGCTTTACCCTCACCCCACGCACACATTCATCCCCCCAGGGTCCTGGGAGTTGCTGTTCTCTGGGGCCTTTTGTCTCCACGGCCCCACCTGCTGGTCATAGTGGGAGTGGCACTTCGAAGCGGCCCACCTCGGTTGCACTAGCAGGCCTGCTACCCTCTGGGGTAGTGAGGGGAGCCTGGGCCTCACTCAGCGGGCCCCTCTGTCTGGTCACCCTCTCGGGACAGGCTTTGAGCTGCTCTGACAGAGCTGGCAGCTCCCCATTGGAGGCGATCGCGAGCCAGCAAGGCTGCGTTTGAGCTGCAGTCCACGGCCTCACTGCTGCCCCGGGGCCATTAGAAGCTGAGCGCCTTCCGTTTGTCTTTGATTAATAAAGAATGGAAAAGGAAGTGATGATTGCTTAATCAGGAAGCGTGTCTGGGAGTCAGAGTCTTCCAAAACACAGGTCCGGGGGGTGGGAGCGGGGAATGAAGGGCGCGGAGGAGCGGGTGCCAGAGGTTCAGTGGTTAGAAGCCTGGAGCTGGGGACCTGAGCGAGCGGGAGCCAGTTCTGAGGTCCAGCTCACTGCTCCGAGAAGTGCAGGGGGTGTGGGAGGTGCCCTCGCCTGGCTGCCATCCTCTCCTGTGGGTGCTGCGTAATAATTTACCTCCCGCTGTGTGCCTGGGCCAGAGCACGCACACCGTGGGTACCCGCTGGCGCTGAATTTCCGTAGGGGCCCAGGTCTGAACTAAATGGCCTGAGCACCACCCACCAAGGTGGTTATTTTTATGATCTTCCTTTTACAGACTATTCTGTTCCATTTTGCAGACTGGTAAACTGAGGCTTGGAGAAATGAAATCACCACTCTAGAATTATCTGGTCAGAAGTGGCGGAGGTGGCCCTTGAGGCTTAGTGACTCATTCACGCTGGTGAGTGGTCCAGCTGGGAGGGCAGCACCTGCTGTGGACACCAAAGCCTGCTTCCTGTCATTTGCCTGAGCAGCTGGGCATTGTGGTGCACCTGTGTGACCCCAGCACTCAGGAAGCTGAGGCAGGTGGATTGCCTTGAGTTTGCGGCCAGCCTGAGCTACATAGACCTTGTCTCAAAAACAAAAACCCAAAATCAGTTTCTAGACTAGAACTTCCCACAGGTAACCAGGCTGCGCAGAATGCCACTCCCACGTCAGCTGCCCTTGCTGCTACAGCCTCGGCCCATCCCAGCTGGCTGTTTGCAGCCTGTCTGAAGTCAATGTTTAAAAAACTACCATTTACTCTGAAGTTTGCTGGCTCGAGTTTATACTGTATGATCTTGGAGGAGTGACTTTGCTCCTGCTCTGAGCCTCAGTCTCCCAGTTAGCACCAGTGGAACTCATGTGACCCAGCCAGATGGCTGCTTTAAGGTTCCACTGAGGTCCCGACGCAGTTCAGATGGCCCGTGAAGCAGAGTGCACCTGATAAACAATGGCTGATGCCCCCACAAGGCTCTGTGGGATCATCCGGCTGCCCACCCTGGGAGAGTCACAGAGGTCCAGGATGTCACCGTCTGAAGCCATGGAGGGTTGGGTCCCAGACTCCTGTTGTTAACTATTACACTCTGTCTAGTACATCACACACGCCACACCCTACGCAGGTGGCAGCAAAGGGAACACAGATGCAGGCTCTGGAGAGGTGGCTGAAATTGTTTGTGGCTTTTGCTTCAGATCCTCAGACCAACCCCAGGTCCACAGCCTCCTGGGTGATCAGAGCCCAACAAGGCCACTTAGGCTCGTGAGTGACCAACAGTCAAGGCCACCACCTCTCGCCAGGCACCCTGTGAGCTCTCTCGGCCTCCTCGCTGGCTGTGTCCTCTGCGGCCCTGCATGCTGCTCCCTCTGCCTGCGGTACCTAGCCTGCCCTGCAGGTAGGGGCCTCAGCCTCTGGCCCCCAGCCGAATGCAGTCCCCGAGGTACTTCTGCAGAGCAACGGCTGCCGTGGTGCCTGCCCAGTTTGTCGTGTGTGACCCACACATCCTTCGGCCTCTGTGCACAGGCTGCAGCTGGCTGCTCTCCCAGCCACTGTGCCACCATGCTGACCTGCGGCTGGCACTCGCAGCCCACGGCCTGTCCTGCCCAGATGACCCCACAGTGTCACTGGGCTCAGCGACTGATGCAGAGGTGACTGCTCACTGCAGGATCTGAGGCAGCCTCAGACCGGCACAGGGAAGGCTTGTCTGCAGCCCACCTGAGTGAGGTCCATGCCAGGGTTCGCCCAGGGTCGGAGTCAAGACGGCGGGAGTCACGTCAGGTAGTCACTGTATTTTATTGGAAAACATTGATATATATTTTTCTTCACAGCTTGAACTGAACACAATATTGCCCGGTTTAAAAAAAACAAAACCCAAACATTCTGGGTGTCCACAGCCTCACGCCTACCCGCCCTTGCCCTCAGCTCCTGGCCGGGTCTCCCCCTGGGCCCTGTCCCTCCCTCCCTCCCTCCCTCCAAGGCTGGTGCCAGAGGGCAGAGAAGAGTCCCAAAGCTGGGCAGGTGCCGGGAAAGCCACTTGATTGACCTGGGGTGGGGGAGCCAGATGAAAAGAACAGAAAGGAACCCAGACTGATGTCCGCGTTGACTGACTTGTCCCAGAGGCGAGTCAGAAGCGAGCTGCGGATCATGCTCTCCGCTGGGGTTGGGGCGGGGGCAGGCAGGGCGGGGGCAGGGCTGAGCGAGGCGGCCAGGGCCAGGTCAGCGGCGAGCGCATAGGCAGCAGGAGGCAGAGGCCGCCCTGGCTGCATGCAGAGTGCAGCGGGCCAACACGAGTGTTTTATTGCAGGTTTGTTCTTGTGAGGGTATGGTGGGGCTCATCTTCCCTCTCCCCACCCTTTGGCTGGCCTGGCATGGTTTGGAACAAAAATCAAAGTTTTGAGGGACATAAAGGAAAAAAAAATAGAATTAGGGTAACCAGCACATTACAGAGCGACCATCCCCACACCCACACCTAGAAGGCCCGGGTGGTGGGCCGTAGGGGAGCGGCATGGGATGTTAGCACCAGGTAATTTACAGAACAGCCGAGATCGCCGCGAGACATGGGCGAGGGCGACCTGCACAGTGGCCAGTGAGCAGCCCCTGCCCAGCCCCGCCTCAGAAAGCCAGTCAGATGGTTCCAGAACAGCAGCCAGCGGGACCTGAGTGCCGTCCACTCTGTCCATCCCCCTTCAAGCCGGCCCCTCCAATGGGGAAATCGTGCCAGCTTCCAAGGCCTTCTCATCCCCTCCAGTCAATGCCACAATTCCTCAACCCCTCTGTGCTTCTGCACGCCCCTCCTGGCCCCTGCCCGGGGCTGCCGGGATCTGCACACGGAATCACAGGGCTGGCTGCATGCAGGAGTGACGGGCATGCTCCTTGCCTGGGGGCGCGGCACCCCCGCGGGGCTGGGACAGGGCCAGCAGCCACCCCAGCAACCCACATAAGAGGACAGACGAAACAGACCGCAGTGGAGGAGAGCTGCCCAGGCTGCAGGAGGAGGGCAGAGGCTCCCCGAGGGGCAGGGTTCATCTTATGAATGCACAGGGCCTGGAACTTGTGGAAGGAAGGGCGAAAGGGAACCGAGGGCCGTGAGGGAGACGGGAGGAAGGAGAAAGAGCCATCATGCAGCGTGGGACAAATCTTTTGTTGCTTTATCAGATTCTCAGTCAATCAACTGGTGTTTGCTAGAACCGGGGTACGCAGGGGAGTGTTGAAGAGAGAAGAGTGCGAGAGGAGATCAGGAAAACGGGCATCACCAGCTGCCCGGGCCTTCACTTCGCAGTCATCATCTGTACAAACTCTGCAGAGAGACGGAGAAGGCGGGTGAGCAGCGTGGAGCCCGGCGGCCCTCCCGGCACGAGGGGCTGGGCCAGCGACACTCACCTTCGTAATTGACCTGGCCGTCGCCGTCGATGTCAGCCTCTCTGATCATCTCATCCACTTCCTCGTCAGTCAGCTTCTCCCCCAGGTTCGTCATCACGTGGCGCAGCTCTGCGGCACTAATGTAGCCGTTTCCATCCTGCAGGATGGGGACGAAGGCTGTCATTTTGCTGCCCTGGCCCGGGAGGGTGGGGAGCAGGTGGGCAGGATCCTGAGAGAGGGCTGCTTACCTTGTCGAAGACACGGAATGCCTCTCGGATCTCCTCCTCGCTGTCTGTGTCCTTCATCTTTCTGGCCATCATGGTCAGGAACTCCGGGAAGTCAATGGTCCCGTTCCCTGGCAGGGAGGGAGGAGAAGCTCTTGACCTGGGCCCTGGGAGATGAGCCCAGAGACCCCAGAGAGGGTACACTGACCCGTCCGTCCCCAGGGAGACGCCTGGCGCTCACCATCTGCGTCCACCTCATTGATCATGTCCTGCAGCTCTGCCTCAGTGGGGTTCTGTCCCAGGGATCTCATCACTGTCCCCAGCTCCTTGGTGGTGATGGTGCCGTCTCCATCCTTGTCGAAGAGGGAGAAGGCCTCCTTGAACTCTGGGGGAAGAAAGGGAACAGTCTGGGTCAGGAGGCCACAGGGAGAGCCTGAGACCCCTGGAGCGAGTCGGCCCCAGCTCAGGGTGCGGGCCAGACCTCAAGCCCGGGCCTCTCCTCAGTGCGCTCCTTTCTTCAGCCAACCCAGTTCGGTTCGGACACTGGGGAGAAAGTGGTTTTACGGCTGTCCTTAGGTAACTGTACACTTTTTTTTTGGTTCTGGCTTTAGCGTCTTCCTCAAATGATGAAATGGACCAAAGTCAAGGAGTGGATGACAGCCAAGCAAATTCTTCATCTGAAGCTTGCGAGCCAAGGTCACCGGGCCGGAGGGAAGGGGAGGGGGAGCAGTGGCTGCCGGAGGCCGCTGGCCAGCAAGAGAAGGAAATGTGGATAATGAACTGCTACTGTGGGCGCTGCGGGCGCCGAGGTGCTCAGCCTGCGGGGTGGGGACGTGGGGGTGGTCGGCAGCACAGCATGGCGTGGGGCGGGGAACGGACGGCTGCCGAGCCAGGAGGCTGAGCAGCCAGTGGTGCTGAGTGGGAAGGCTGCAGCTGGGGACGCATCAGGGGCGGGAGAAACGCGGCTCCTGCCCTCCCACTGGGCCCATTTTTGCACCTGGTGCTCTTCTACCCCCAAGCCCTCAGAGAACAGATGCCTGGCAGCCTATTCCCAGGGGTGTGGGCTGGGGTGAGGTGGCGGACAGTTTGCTAATGGGGACAGGGTGAAAAGTAGTGTGTGTGGTACAGGAGGGCAGCGCTGGGAGGTGGGTGGCAGATGGGTTGGGAGGGACACACCGCCGGGCAGCTGTGACCCCCGGCCTCCTGGGGGTGCTGCCAGCTCCCTGTGCCACCCAGCAGAGTGGAAGACCCAGGTGATACGGTCGGGAAACGACAGTTCTCTGCTTTCTTCCTTGGGCTCCACCTGCCCTGGGCCAAAGCTAAGAGGCTGCAAGTATGACTGTCGTGGGACAGCAGTGACGAGCCCATTCCCGCCTCCTCCACCTGAGAGGCTGGCTCTCAGTCCGTCGCACAGCTGGCGGACGGTGACACCTGAGATGGGGTCTGGGTAGCTGGCAGGGCCAGGGAGAAGCAAGGAGTCGGCCTCTGATCTCCCAGGCAGCTCTGAATGGGGTGAGCGGCAGTTACACAGCAGTTCCTGAGGGTGGGGACTCTCGGGGCAGAGTCTACAAAAATGAATGAGATGGACCCCCTGGGAGGTCACAGTCACTTCTCTGTTCATTGCTTAGCTGGCAGAATTTACGAAGCACCCACTGCCTATGTTCAGATACTGAGGCCATGGCAGGAACCGACAAGACCAAGTCCTGAGCTCAAGGGACTCACTTCTAGTGACAGGTGATACAACAGGCAAAGACAGGAAGCACCCGCAGATGCGAGAAAGGCCACGAGGACAGAAACACAGCAACGTGACAGGTGAACTGATTAAGGGGCCAGGAAGGCCTGGCCAAGGGGACACAGAGCTGAGCCCCGAGGGGGGAAGAGCTGCCCACGCAGGGCTGGGAGAGGAGCACTGGCGGCAGAACAGCGCGAGCAAGCATGTACAAAAGGGAACGCGAAGCCAGGCACGTGCGGAGGCGGGGGTGACAGCCGTCTCCTGGGCAGCTCCTAAAGTGGGACAGGAGCTCCGCGGGCCCACAGGGAGGCAGGGGCTCACCTTCTAAGCCTATCTGGATGCAGGTGGCAGAGAGCTAGGTAGGCTGTCCTGTGCCCACTGATCTCAAGGCTCCGAATGACCAGGAGCCAGCGGAGGGACACAGCCTTTGCCACTCAGCAGAGGTCCGAGGGCCATCTTAGGACCACGGCGCTGCTGGGAGGCGGGGGCACATTGATCACAGGCACAGGCATCACACGGGGTGACACAGGGACACACACACATTCCTCCATTAGCTTAGTCCTTGGGCTAAGATCCGGCGGGGGACACAGGCTTTGCTCAGGCAAGATGATGGGGACACAGAGCCGGCAAACTCACCTGCGATCTGCTCCTCAGTCAGCTGGTCGGCCTGGAAAGCAGGAAGGAGAGTTAGTCACAGCTGGCTTCCCCCCAGATGGGTTTTCCCTGCCCAGCCTGGCCCCTCTGTGGAGGCTGCCACATGGCATTCCTGCTGGGCAAGGGACGAGGCAGAGCCTGCTGGGCACGTCAGAGTTTGAGGCAGAGCCGGGCACAGGGCAAAGCATGGAGACTCGGGTGGGCTGGAAACCCAGACCCCCGGGCCAGGAGAGATGCCAGCTCCAGCTTCAAACCAGCTTCACCGGGGTGGCACAGAGCGGGCTGGCATCTTGCTGTTGGGAGCCCCAGCGGCAGTGTGAAGGAGCAGCTGCCCTAAAGGAATAGAGAGCGGCTCTAGAGGTCTCCAAACCGAAACAGGCCAGTCCTTGGGTACAGCAGAGGGAAGACGCGTGGGGCTACCTTTGTTAGTTTCTGTGTCACCTATTTGAAGGTGCTAGGCCCAAGGAGGACACACTCAAGTGGTGAAAATCATCTTAACCAATGGCTCAGAGTTGTTCTGGTGACTTGAGAACCTTGGTCAGTCTGGAGGCTGTCATTCTACCCCTTGGGACCCAGGGTAAGCACAGGGTACCACTCTATTAGGTTTCTTTCGGGCAGAAGGGGCAAATGTCAGGGAGGGGACTGCTGCAGGCAGCGGCAGCAGTGGCAAAGGACTGAAGTCAGCTTCAGCGCTGCAGTTTTTAACCCTTTCCAGCCCGGGCCACTTGGGCCTGGCCAGTGGCGGCAGGCAGCCCTTGCTGCATGTGGGCCGGGGAGGGGCAGGGACCAACGCTTCCCACACAGTTGTGCTGGGAATCAGATGGCCCGCAGAAGAGCAAGGTAGGAACTGGATTCCAACAACATCTAGCTTCGGACAGCTACAAGGTAAGTTTTCCTTGGTTTCTGTAAGTGCAGGAAGGCTCCACCAACCTGGACTACTGTGGATCCAGTGAACACTCCTCTCCTTTTCCCAATTAGGGGAGGGGCTCCAAGTGTACAGCAGATTCTAGTCTTAAGTTTGAGAATGCAGGAATCAAAGTGAACTATGGTCTGTGTCTGGATTGCTCTACATTGGGTTCTAGGCCTTCCATCAGAGGCTACAACAAACCACTGCCTGTTCCTAATTCTGTACTGCGCTTAACCGATTAAAATATGCTGCTTAACCTAAGGGAAGAGGAACTTGAGGCCGAGCCCCGAAGAGGCAGAATGGGAGGAGAAATCACAGTGATGACGACAGAGGGGAGATGGCTGGCTGAGGCAGGGAAGGAAGGCACTGAAGAAAATGCCACACATGCTCAGTCTAGAAAAGTCCAGTCTAGAGAGGAGGCATGATGGAGACTCTGCAAGGCTGTCAGCAGAGTCGGGGCTGCAGGCACAATGCCAACCAGCAGTGCAGACCCATGACCCCCCCACCGCCCGTGGACGAGGTGGGGGCGCCCAGCCTCTCTGTGCTGACACCTGAGGAAGCTGCTGGGGAAAGTGAGAAGAGAGGATGGGCTTCTGGTTACGGCCAGGCAGTGCTGGGGGAGGGGGAGAGGAGGGCTGCAGCTCCATCTGCTTTTCATTCTCCTGCCCGGGCCTGGAATGGAAAAAGCGAGCGCAATCGCAAGCGCAGTCAGGGACCTTCCCAGCCCAGCGCCCAGCACTGCTCTGCACAAAGCCCACCGAGGGGCTGCAGAATGCCCAGAGTGGGCCTGAGAGCCAGTGCCTGCCCCTGAGAGCTGGGAGATGCAGGTGAGGACCCGTGTCCTGCAGTCTGGTTCCACGGCTGCTGCAAATAGGCGTGGCTCTGCCTGGAGGGCCATCAGACTCCCTGCCAGGTAGAAGCTCTCCGCCCTGCTCGACCCAGGAAAGGTCCCAGCTCTAAACTACACCTCAGTGCAGGACTGAGGTCCAGAATAGCAACTGCGGGAGAAGTGATCACTGGGACCCCTCCCCAGGGCTGCCTCCCTCTCTAGACCAGAAGATTGTAAAGTTACCAAAACCTGTCTCCAAAATAACCCAGCTGCTTCCTTGTCCCTCATCTTAGGCTCCAGCAAAGAGCTAGACAAGGAAAAAAAAAAGCTTGGGGTGGAGGAGGGAAGAGGGAAGAGGGTATTATTTCTCTGCCTTGCCCCAGCCTCCAGCCGATGCCCGAGTAGTGTTAGATGAGATCAGAAACCAAGGCCAGGCCCCTTACCAGGGCCAAGGAGGAACCACAGGGCTCAGGCCAAAGTTCAAAGCCAGTTAACAGGGCCTTGTACCACCCCTACTTCACTGATTACAATTGGGAAGAGAAATTGGTCAGGGTAAGAGCTGGGGCCCTCCTTTGAGGGTGGGGTCCCCCCACTGGTACCTTCAAGCCCAGTAGGGCCCTATGAGCAAGGTTCTGCAGGGGGGAATGGGGTAGCGGCAAGAGGAGCCGTCAGGTCTGTGTCAGCAGTAGGAGACCTGATACACGGCGAGGCTGCCTGCCCTGCCCAGCCTTGCCAGGGAGGATGGCTGTGCATGGCTCCAGGCTGAGCCTGGGGGGGTGGGTGTCGTGGGTGGCAGGAGTAGAAAGAACTGGTCTGCCGGTTTTCTCTCAAAGCCCTCGCTGTGAACGCACAGAAGCATTCATGAGGGCTGCGAAAAGAACAAGAGGCCCTCAAGTAATGAAGGGGTCCCCCGAAGTCCCTTCTGGTCAAGCTCGGCAGCCCCCACCCTGAGGGCACGGGAATAGGCATCTGATCATCATCACTGACGCCACACTGTACCGTGCTGCACTGTCATTTGGCACCAGTGAGAAGATGCAGGAGGGTGCGTGGAGCTGGGGATCAGAGGGAAAGCAGCCTCCTCTCTGGAAAGGCAGCTCTCTTGATTCGAATGGAGTGGCAAGAGGGTTGAGGTTTCTAGGCTTAAACAAGCTGGCTCATTTGATGCACCCCAAACTTTGATTCCCCACCCGGTGCATTTCCTGCAGCTTCAGAGCCCAACAGGGGCCTAAACAACTCCGCCCACCTGCCCCACTGCCCTGGGGCTACCAATCCATTCTTCCCAGGGAAGCAGGACACCGCAGAGCCATCCCCTCCAGCATCTGCGCTCCCCCCAACGTCTTCCTCTGGGTCTTTTCCTGGAGACCAGCGGGAGTGACCCTACCCACCTCCAGACCTAGGCCCACTCTGGCTGCCGTTCATTATCATATCCTTCTACACTTCCGGTCCCCTTCAACCTCACCTCTCGACACCCAAACCACAGTCTTCCTGGACCCTCTCACCTTGGAAACCCATCTTTCCATGAGCCCAAACACAACACCTCTGCCCAACTCCTTCCCGTTAAAAAACAAAAAAAAAATCTTAGTTTAATAGCCTTAACCCACTGGTCCTCTGAGAACCTTTTCTAGCTACCTCCATATCGACCACAAGGCTCCCCACTCCCCAATATGAGCAAGCATCAGCCTCGACACCCCCTTTAGCTACATCCACCACCGCCCGATCCTTCAAAGCATCTCCGAGCCTCCGTTCCCACCCACCCCAGCCTCTTCTCACCTCGCCTTGCACCTACCTCTCCCTCCTCTTCCGCAGTGCTGGTCTTTGGAGACCCCTTCCCCCAAGGATCTAAGGTGCAAAGGTCGCCCCACCCCCATCCTCCCCTCGGGCCCCCAGGAGCCCCGGGGCCACTCGTCCAGGTGCCAGGCCTCGCTCCGTCCCCTCTTCCCTCCATCAGGACCTAACGCCTCCTTCAGGGCCCAAACAGCTTCCTCCCCGGCCGCTTAGGTTTTATTTCCGCCTCCTGGGGGTCCACACACCCAAATCTGAAACCACACGCTTCGTGTGGAATCCAAAGATCATTTCTGGGGGGGTCCGAACGCTTCCTCTGGGGGCCCAAAGGCTCCACCCTGGGTTCAATAGTCCCCTCGGATGGCTCAGACACCCGTCTGGGGAACTCAACACCCCACTTGGGGTCAAAGTCGCTTGTGGAATCCCCAAAGCCCCCTTCTGGGACCCACACGTCCCTCTGGGTTCAAACCCCACGAGCCCGGGGGCCCAAGGCTCCTGCCGGGACCCGACGCCCCCACTCGGGGCTCC